TGGAAGGCAGAACTAAAAGGCATAAGTAGCCCTGGTAGTCGAGCTATTACCACCTTATCTGTGCTGACGAAGGATCCTTCTGAGTCCTTCATGCCTTCTGTATACGCAAAGTGATGTGGAGACCTGCCCAAACATCGCGCCATCTCCATCAATGCCCATTTGGAAGCAGAGGACAGAAATCCCCAGCTGCCAGTGGGCAAAGTGACCGCTATTGGTCGTAGGCTCATCTCTGCCTCTCTATGCATGTGCAGTGCCACAGTATCAGCTCTCAGCATTACCGCTGCTTCCAGCTCCTGGGTTTTCATGTTAAATATTTAGCACGATACTAAAAAATAAAATTCGGCAGAAAGTGAGATGAACTTTGGGGTCCCTTCCAACCCAAAACATTCTATGATTCTATGATTTCTACACCTTCACGACTGCAGAGAAGTTTCGAATGTGAACTAAACGTAATTCAGCTGCATTTACAAAAGCCTTTTTATTGTGGTTTTTATGTGTTCCCTGTTTCTCATCAGAGTGAGGACCAGGAGATTCTCCTGACTTCATACCTACACTATACACTGAGGTTAGTTATGCTTTGAAGTAGCTAGTATGTAGTCCTACCCTCCTCAAAGGTGAATCATATCTAAACTAGACTGGGGGAAAGGGGTTCCCTAATTTTCCAATTTTGAGTTAGACCAAATACACAGTTTTGAAAACAGCTGGAATTGGTAATACTGCTTTAATGTTATTATTATAACAAGCGTTTACTTTTAAGTTATAAAACAAATAGCATTTTCTGCACTGGGAAGCTCGAATGCCAATAATCTATTGTCTTTGTCAGGACATGTTCTTAACAAGTGCTTTGGTGATTTTGGAAACATCCTTTGAATGTCAGCCTTTTGGGAAAGCTTCCAGTGGATCATCAGTGTTTTAGTTATCACTGTTCCCAACTGTTTTCTCCTCCCTCCCCTGTTCATGGAATTTAGCCACACAAACTCTCACCAAGTTTAGCTGAGAGGAAAGAGATGTACAGAAGATGCATCGGCGCAGAGGTACCATTAAAAATGACCACTGAACAAAAGCCACGGTTTAGGTAAGTTCCAGCTTCTCCGTAAAAAACCCTTGCTATATGCTGCATCAAGGCTTTTTTTGTACTCAAAAATTTCACATGGATATTAGTATCTTAAAAATTCCTTAGTTTGCCTCCTTCCCACCTGCGGATATGTAACCTGGGTGACTACACCCCTCCTCATATAATCATAGAATTGTCTAGGTTGGAAAAGACCTTTAAGATGATCAAGTCCAACCGTTAACCTAACACTGCCATCCCACCACTAAACCATGGCCCTAAGCACCTCACCTACCCATCTTCTAAATACCTCCAGGGATGGGGACTCGACCACTTCCCTGGGCAGCCCGTTCCAGAGCCTGACAACCCTTTCGGTGAAGAAATCTTTCCTAATGTCTAGCCTAAATCTGTCCTGGCGCAACTTCAAACCATTCCCCCTTGTCCTTTCGTTCGTTACCAGGGAGAAGAGGCCAACCCCCACCTCGCTACAGCCTCCTGTCGGGTAGCTGTAGAGGGCGAGAAGGTCTCCCCTCAGCCTCCTCTTCTCCAGATTAAACACCCCCAGTTCCTTCAGCCACTCCTCATGAGACTTGTGCTCCAGACCCCTCACCAGCTTCGTTGTTCTCCTCTGGACATGTTCCAGCAATGCAACATCTTTCTTGTAGTGAGGGGCCCAAAACTGAACACAGTATTTGAGGTGCAGCGTCACCAGCACCAAGTACAGGGGCACGATCACTTCCCTACTCCTGCTGGCCACACTATTCCCGATACAAGCCAGGATGCTGTTGGCCCTCTTGGCCACCTGGGCACACTGTTGGCTCATATTCAGCCCGTTGTCAACCAGTACCCCCAGGTCTTTTCCACCAGGCAGCTTTCCAGCCACTTTCCTCAGCCAGTCACTGAGCCTTCTTTCATCACACAGTAGACTCACCTAGAACTAACGAGAGAAATGCAGCATTTTATGTTTGTCGTGTCTGAAAACATTCTGCATTTTCACCACACCCCTACCTCTTCCTCTACAGCTTTTCAACCAGCATGCCCAGTGGATGCACCTAGTCCCAGCAGAAGCACTTTGTTCATCACATCACAGCCCAAGGGATGGTTGTAAACAACCCAGGAACCACTTGAGAATTGAAGTTGTCAGAAAATAGCTTGAGAAGAGAGTTTCTCTGCCTACCATGTTGACAGCATCCTGGTCGAAGGGGTTCCACTCGATGTTCTGAGGATAATGGGCCAAAACTTTGGACTTGAAGGTTCTTCTTAACGGACTCTGGTCGAAATTCTCTCCTGCAACAAATGAAGAATTAATGACTTGTCACAGCAGTGAGGCTTCAGAGAGAGCTGACCTAGGCAGCTTACTTTCACTTTGGGTTTTTTTTCTGAAATCTGAAGGGCATTTTCACTCCCAACAGACATATTAGTTTTACAAGAGGCACAGAAAAGATACACATTCAGTCTGATCTTGCCCTCCTTCCCACAAAATCTTACTACTGTTGCAACATAGCTTCCAGCTCAGTATCCACCTATTGAAATGTATCATTAAGAGAAAAATTATTGCTGGATTTTTATGGAGAAAGGCCCTGCAAACAGCTGAATTCTCCATCTTCCCCTATAGCTTGACTAGCTAGAGATTGCTTTACTTAGATGCTGAAAGAGCACTTCCCCTCAAGGTTGCTAGAAACTGTCTTACGGTCAATAAAAAGTATGACCACATCTCAGCTATTGTAACTTATTCAAGGATTCATTATAGAACTTTTTTATATCACAAGTCCTGTGTGAAATTAAACTGGTTTTTTTCTACATCAAATCTTAAGGGCAGACTTTTTCCACACAAAGAATCCAGCACGTGCAAGGAGGAAGACTGAAATTAGACTTCAAACAGCAATGCATCCAGTTATCAGCATACAAATAGTGTATTTCATGGTAATACTGCTAATGGAGTTTCCATCATGGGATAGTCTACAATATGCAACACAGTAATCAAAATAAATTCTTAAAAACCATTCATTATGCTACCATTTATTACACTTTTCTCAGATATCAGGTTACTAATTTCTGGCTTCTTGCTTTAAAGACTACAGGTGGGGCTTTCCTGTTCAGTTCCTTTCTCACTTGAGAGGAGAGAATGGGATGAAAGCCTTAACTTTACAACGTTAAATGTTCTCACCAAATCTTACTTTGCACTCATAGGCACCTTTGAGGACTTCCTTGTGTTACCTAGATACTTCTAAAAATATGTTACTGAAATAGAATTTGTTTTCTTGTCTTTAAAAAAAATTTATTTCTCTTTATACTTAGAGACAGAATCAATATTTTATTAATGTTTTTAATGAGAGGTTATTTTTGATGAAAAAATATTCAATCATTTAGCAAGCTCTAAAGGCAATCCACTGCTCCTGCAGAAAAGTTAAAACTACAAGGCACTAACCTCACTAACCCCTCTCTGAGGGCGACATGGACTGCGGGAGGATAATTTGCGCTTGCTGAGTTACATGTGACAAATTCAACCTTCATGCAGCTAGCAGCCTCTGGGCGATGTTGCAAAGCTCAGAGTTCAGCAGTTACCTGAAGGTCTCTGAGGCCATGGCCATCTGGCACCTGCCCTTCGCTCCTTGTGGAGCACAGGCTACACAATCATCTGGCTCAGAGTGAATTAATCCAAGGAAATTTCTGTACAAATGGATACGTGAAGGTACCGCTTCTCAGCCTTTGGCTGGCAGAGCTTAGGGTCTGCAGATAATGGAGGGGAACGCAAAAGAACATGCTTAGGGCCATGGTTTAGTGGTAGGATGGCAGGGTTAGGTTAATGGTTGGACTGGATGATCTTAAAGGTCTTTTCCAACCCAAACGATTCTCTGAAAAACACCATTGCAAGTCACAAGGTAAAAGTTTTCCAGGTGAAGTCTTAGGATGGTTGGACACCATTTGCTTTATGAAACCCTTAAACACATCTTCAAAGCAGAGGGAAGAAGCCGTGCTATCTCTGAGGGGCTGCAGCGCCAGGGCCATCGCAGCGGCACCTCCACAGCAGAGGCAGGTGGAGGAAGAGGAGGCAAAGGTCGGGCATTTCCTACACCAACGCCAGCCATCCACTTGGTCGGGAAAGGGAAGCGGAGGCTTATGCCGGAGCTACCCTCCGGGAAGATGCGCGTAGGCTGTGCTGGGACTTGCCCCTCGCCCCCTCCTAAGAGCCGCTGCACCGAGTAACCTGGGGAGGCAGGCGGAGGAGAGCTAACCAGCTCTTCCAACAGCACTCCGAATGCATTCAGAGAATGGGTTTAAAAAAATCTTTTCCTTCCCAAGAGATCTCTGAGATTTTTAAGGGCATGGGCATTTTTATACAATGGCTCATTTTTAACACATTATTTAGACACGTTGCAGCATTGTATTTTCTACTATTATGTCTGTCTCATTGATTCTGGTGGATAACCGTGGGGGAGAAAAGCGAATAAGCTTCTACAAGGATATTTTGTACTTGAGAGGAGAGAAGGCCCAAGATGATACAATGCTGCAGCCATATTTCCTGGGGCAGGAAAAAATGCAAATGGTAAGATGTGAGGAGCTCTGGCAGGGGAATCCAGCCTGCTTCTGGAATTGCCCAAGGCAAACCAGAAATCCAGCAGAACTGTATGCATCACAGAAAAAAAGAAAACTGAAGGTATTGGCTAAACTGGATCAAATTAAAAGACAGGTTGGGGTTTAGCTGATTAGCTCATCACACCTGCCAAGTTGGACCAGACTTGCCACTAGCTGCTACAACAGTCCAGAGCACAAGCACTAGGGAGATCCTTTCCATGCTTGGTTACAAAGCTCAGACTGAAGCGCACAAAACCAGAGACCATTACTCTATTACAGAACATGGCAGTCGAATAACCTCTTATTTTGGCCCAGAAGTTCTTTGAAGAGACATTAGAGAAAAAGATATAATGTCATGCACTGATTCCCAAAGTTTCACAAAATAAAAATCCCAACAAGCAAAGCCAGTAAAAAGTCTCTCTCCAGGTTTGCACTTAAACATACTTGGCAACATTTTTAATTCTTAGTATCCAACAGTAATTAATGTACTTGCATAATCAAATAAATATGCATGAGGTTATTTCCTAATTAGATCTTCAGTCTTCACATCTGACATAGTTTACCTTACAAGTGTGAATTAGCAGAAAGGCAGATATTTGATGCTAAATTTGTTTGGTTGCTTCTACTAAAAGTTCGAAGAGCATCTGGAGGACTTCATTAAGTTCTCCACCACCTACAGAAAGCCATTTCTTTAAAGGTTTCCTTTTTCATGACCAAAAAATATTACTGTAACCTGACTGATGCCAGTTTGGTAATTTGTGTGCATCAGAGGCACTCATCACCTCTGCAGTTCACGCACCAGTGGAGCCCTTCACAGGTTCTTTGTGGGCCACTTTTCCAATCTGCATTGTACGGGTGTTTTAAAAACACCTTTTGCTTGAAAAATAGCCCACAGTGATGACAGTCAACAACTACATTAATTAATCACTTGGTATTAGCACATAACCGTAAATGGGAGTCTAGCAGCAACGCACATTAATCATGTCATTTACTGGTTCTAACACTTGTGCTCACTTACAGGCACCAAAGAAATTGGGGCAGGCTTTGCCCTGCACTCTGGACGTGCTCGGGTGAGCCCCGCTTGCAGAGCACGCCCTTGGCACGTGGCATCTCAAAGGACGTGGCTCTGTGCGCTGAACGGGACAGCAAACAGCCCGGCTTTCACCTAAATAACCTCTGCGTGTGCCCAGGAGCAGAGCGCTACGTACCCAGTAGCTTTACTGATTTGTTTCTTGTAGCACAGCCTAAGCTCGTGATAGAGGAGAGAGGGCAGCTGCCGCATGGTGCCGGGCGCTGTCTTGCCTTTAACCTGTCCTGCGGTGTTAGGGCGGCACTGGCAGATGCTGGGCACATGTCAGGCTCCTCAAAGGGACTGAGGCAGTAATCCTGGGAAGCATCTCCACAGTGAAATATCCTCCTCTCTCAGTTTGGTGGCTCAATTGCTAACCCCAACCAGACAAAGCCGTACTTATTTCCAGGTTAGACCAAAAATTACATCACCAGGGATATAAGAGCAGGGAAAGCCTTGGTCTTTTGCTTTTCTTGTTATTGAACATTCTTTTGCCTCATTTTCCCTATAGACACACACAACACCCCTCCCCCCCGGTATCTTGACAAGCAATACTCCGGCAGCATCTGGAACCAGTGGAGAATAACACGGCATATTTGCCAATAAACCACTGCAATAATGAAAAAAATAGGATTTCGATCAACTTTTGGAAATGACCAATAATTTGTATGCTGCTGCAAATACTTGTACAGTCACTTAGACATCAGAGATGTCTAAAAAGTTTTGTTAATGAAGCACAAGCATTGCTTTAAGAAATCCAGCTTTCCAAAACCAGCAGCAACAATGTTCTAGTAGGCAGACAACATAGATTAATTTTGTCCAGGAAAATGAATGGCACAAATAACTTACCTTTGCAGAGTCTCTGCAGGGTTTGCATTCTACTACTATGGTGGTTTTAAAAAACAATACATTAAAGGTAAAACACACCCTCTCCCCCAATACAATTTGCTCAATCAGCGATCACTAGACAAAAGAGAAGAGCCAAGAAACCACGCTGGAGTGCGTCAATCAAGGGACACACCACCACATGCTCCATACAAAGCTGTCCCTGGCAAGCCAGGCAGGGTAAGCTTTTAAAGGAGATACATAATTTAGGAAAGAAACAGTACAAGGATACGACAGAAAGCAGCTCGCATGTCAGGGCGAAATGTCATCATTTGGCCAAACCAGCAGAAAACACCTCGACTCTCACCGAAACGAGATGAGAGACGTGGACTGTGACAGCCAGCTCCACACTGACAGGCAGCTGGAAGAGAACCACAGGAAGCAAAACCTTCTTGGCAAACATGAGGGAAGGGATCTGGATTGAAGGGTGCCTGACATTACCAACTCTCAGCCTTGGTAACTGAACTTGGTCTGAACTGCTGAGTCACATGTGGCAAATAAAATTTATTCAGCTGTTATTCCAGGCAAACAGTGAATTTTCCTTAAATCTACTATGTGCTTCTAAGTGTTTGCTTGCTAACATCCCAAACAGGATTAGCAAAGCACATTAAAAATGAAGCAAGTATCAAATGCTAATTGAATCCATATTCTAAAATATTAATGGCCACATAACAGTACTGTGAATGCAGACAGAAACATGGTATTTGATGCGCGGTACCCATTCATGCAACCAGCACATCTCATAGGGTAAGCTGCCTCTCAGGGGCAAATGAAAAGTTTGGTTTTGAATGGACTCCTTTTGCTTTCAGGATAATTAAAAAAAAAAAAAATCATTCAAGTATTTTTCAAAATTGTGTCAAATGTGTCAGATTCAACTTCCCTTTCAGTTGGATACTACGTCCTATGTAATGGTGCTTATAAATAACTTGCACTTTCCCTTAAATGCACTCACTTTTAAAGGGGCCTTTAGTTTCAAATTAAAAGCAAATGGTGAAGGAATGGGCGTTAGATCAAGAAAAACCACATTAATTTCATTTCAAAATGAAAAGATTTCTCCAAATTGGAAAATAAGCATCTTCTGTGTTTTGGATGAAGGATAAAATTACTGGGGAAACGCAGCTCTGGTTGTGAGGTTGTCAGTCATGATGGCTTTCATATGAGAGATTATATTTTAAAATTTAGCTATCTTAAGGTTTAAGTAGATCTGTTTTAATTATCATGGCTACAGAGGCATACAAAAATACATACTAAATAGGCAGAGGCATCCTCCACCCACACCCTCTGGTCCAGGGAATGCAAGCTATCTGTCGCTCCTTTCCCAGCTCTGGAACGTAGACAGGAATCCTTGTGACCACAGAAATAAAAATATCTTTTATTCCTTTAGAGGAACACACTGGGAGCACGGCAATGACAGTGCTGCACCTCACGGTGACAACCTCTTTGATAGCCATTTCTAATTCAAAGCGTTCAGCACTTCCAGCTATGTTCTTTCCCTGCAGACAGAACTTTGTTAAGCGTTGGATAACTGGATGACCCTGCAAGAGAAGCAAGTAACGTACAACGTGTGAGCAAGAAAAGAACAGGGGGACAGGAATAATAGTGCTTGGCTGGGGAGCAACCAAGCTGTTAATTGCCAGGCTCACGAGACAGTGAGTTTAAGTAATGCAGAAATGGTGCTCTGCTGCTTTTCTCCTGTGCCCCACCGTGACGCCAAAGGGGCAGCGGTAGGCTAGGCAGTGTTCAAGGACATTAACTCAAAGGCATTATTTTTGACCACGTATTCTCATCATCTTACAGCAGAGGAGGGAAGTGATATGAAAGGGGGGACTGGAACAATGCAGACAAACCAGCTGTCATTCCCAAATTTTAAAATCTGAGTTGTCTGTAAAATAGTGGTAGATTTTGGGGGGGCAGGAGGCGTGAGCAGGGTCTAACCTACCTCTTGCATGTCAACGTGCAAAGGAACTGATGGATCGTATTTAAGCAGGAAGCCATAGTGGGTTGTGTACCCTACCAACACATATACATGATTTGGCTTTTTTTGTGTGTCTGTGTGGACCTCATGAATATTGCTACTTAGATCTAGACTGCAAAACATGCTTCCTTGGGGTGTCAGGAACCTTTGGGTCTCTGTAGCAGAAATTGGTGGAGCTGGACCTTCCTGTACCCTTTGTCCACAAATTTACACAACTAAGCCCAGTTGGATTTCTTGATAAGTACCCTCTAATACGGCCTTATGCAAGATATTGTTCAGTCTTTACCAAGCGCACTAAGATCTAGTAATTTCTATATTCGCCCATATACCTGACATTACTGGTGGCATTTCGTTGGAGAGGGGAAGCACATCTGCCAAGAGAGCTTCAAGAGAAAGACTAAAATTTATCAGATATTGATTTAAATTAGGTAAAAGAATGAAAAAGGTGAGGACTTTTGGTTTTGTTTTTAAACTCTGGCCCTCAATTCGATTCAAGGGGAGTTGGAAGACAGAAAATAAAGAGAAAGAGAGAGAGGGCCTGGTGATTGTTTTGTCCTTAATGCCTCTTTACCTGAGGTTTTGTCTGCAGTATCTGAGCTCTTGCCATGGAGATCTGCTTCTAGCCATTTGTACAAGACTACACAACATAACAGAAATAAAAAAAAAAAAAAAAAAAAAAAAAAGCAAGCATGAACAAAATGAAAATATATACAAATATACTGGAGAAGGGAAAAATGTGAAGCAGACATTAAACACTCCCCCTTGCAACCTCTCTCCCCCGCACTACAGCCAAAGGGTAAATCCCTGTGATAAATGAAACTCACCATGACTGTATTACTACAAAGGTGTTGAACGCATTGACAGACATCGCAGAAATACTTGTCAAAATTAGTAACAAGATTAAATTCTCAGTACTTCAAACAGCATGCTGCTGTACAGCTTCCCTATTACGAAGGACAGCTTAGTTCATGCATGGAGCCCTTCCAGAGCTTGTGAAGTTCAGGGGGAAAAAACACCAGTTCTGTAACTGGTGTTGAACTAAACCCGAGGGGTTTTCTTTACTGTAATACCGTTGGCCATGTTGTTACACCTTCAGTGCTGTGCTGCATACCATTTTCAGGACTTTCTGAAGTTACCCAATAATTCTGTTCATCGTTTCTTGTCTCATAATAGGGTGTTGTTAGACAAAGATTTGAATAAATAAGATATGTTTATAACTTGGATGAACAATTTTAATCTCCTCCAGTAACAGCTACCCCAGTAGGCACTGGTAATGGAAGAGCATCCTGCTGACACGTCTAACTGGGGTTTCTTCCAACTGGTTTGCTCATCTCGTCCAGAAAAACAAAAATGCTTTCACAAACACCATTCCTTCATCAAAAAAGTCCCTTTTGTATGCTACACAAAGGCATTATGCAATCCTCCTCAAGTTAAATCTATTTTTATAAACCCAGAGTGCACATTGAAGCTGCAATACCATTGACCTCTCTGGTCATTCAGTTTCTAGGTGTAAATTCAGAGTATTTCCACCATGACCTCCTACTTGAGCTGTTAATCCAGACACCAGTTCAGAGGACCCAGATAATCCTGTCAAGGCTGTATTTTCTGGGAAGGCAGCCCTCGGCAATGGGCACAGGAGCTCTTTCAATACAGATTTTTAGATTTGAATTTGTATTTTAGGATAATTTTCTCGTTTCTTTAGGAGGCACCTGTAGATAACCCATATTCAAGTCAATGTTTTCAACCCATATTCAGGACAATGTTTTTCTACTCCAGGTGTCCTAAACTATTTCATTCTGCTTTCGAACTGTTTGAACAAAAAAGTTGCACAAATATTTAAATTAAAGGAAACATACCAAATAATTGCCTGCTGGTTTTCTGGGAACACGTTGTCAGAGCATATGTTCAGTATCTTGGTCCAGAAGAGCACAAGCCCTGCCACAATCAGGACTCCAAACTCTCCCGGTTAGCAGCAATGAGCCAAAGCTGGCGCCTGCCCCCCATACCCACAGTGCCTTTACAAGCCTCTCTGCCAGGCTGCCCTCACAGCTCTCCCCAAAAGCCCTTTACAACATTATCATTCAAAGGGAATTCGGCACCGAGCTTCCACGGGCTTAGCCACCACCTCTGCAATAGGAAGAACGAAAAGGAAAGACGTAACAGCTCGTGAAGGGATGCAATGCCTGATGTGCCAGGACAGCTTCTGGTTTTGCCACCTGTTTCAGTATTTTGACCATTTATCATCACCAATCATATGGCTAAACAGTCACAGAAATTACATAAGCTCCTGCACAATAAATCAAATCACAAATCATTGACCAGAGCGATATGAATACAGAGCTACGAACACTGTTGTACAGCCTAATTCCCATTACAAACACACTGTAACGGAGTAAGACTGTTGCCACAAAGGCTCAGAACTTCAACGATCCTTCTAAAATGGAGATTTGTTCACCTAAGAGTTATTGCACAAGTCTAAATAAAGAGAAAAAGGCTAAAAACTAACATGAGCAGTTTAGTTTGCCACCATCCCTCCCTTCTGACCTGGATTAAAATACTTACTCTCTGCCTACAGGGTAACATTATACAGCACCGACACCATCAGCTTCTTTAAATAGCCCCAAGTCCCAGCTGCCAACAGACCACAGGCATCCCGCTACACTAGCAAACAAGTATGAATTACACCACCTCTTTTACATAAAATTGCATCATAATCTGGTCAGATCCAAAAAGTCGCGGCTTAAATTATGTCAGTTTGGGTGATCTTTGGCAGTGGGGCGGGAGGAGTTCCATAAACAGGTACCAGAGGCACGGTACTCCTACACTGTGGGGTCTGTCCCCATAGGCTGGAACTGATTAGGAGTAACGGTGGAGCAGGTATAAAACTGGACCTATACTTATAAATATAGGGAATTATTTATGCCTCAGGCCTTTATTTTCTCTAGAAATCAAGGCGTGTGGAATTCACTCATTCTGTTCGTGCTGCCACGCTGCCTTTCCAAGCACGGGGTCCTGATCCACTGCTGGGCAGCATGTGGAAAGCATCCCCCAGAGATTCTTGGTCTGTCCTGTTTATATACAGCAAGGGGCATGTTTTCTTTTTTATTGCATTTCTATACTCAAATCTGCTGTTCGTTTTGAATACTTAATATGGAATGAATGAGCATTTTTACTAATAGAGAAAACAATTCAGGCAATCCTTAGAAGTTCATTTAAATTTAAGTTTCATACATCTTTATTCTTAAATTGCCTACTAACCTTTCGGTTAGTTACATAGCAAGTGAGTAATAAATGTCACCGTAAGAAACTGAAGGGTCTGAAATCCATCTCTCAGTTCCCAGAAGAGTATTAATGACGGCAGAGTGAAAAATGTTCAAGCAAGAGCAAGATGCCAGCTCAGGTCCTTAAACACAGCAGGATGCTAAAGCCCGTAAAGTGAAGGGATGCCCAGCTTCGGAGCAAGAAGGACCTGCCTGCAGGCTTGGGCTGAACCTCCAAGGAAGAAAAAGCATCTTTAGATGCCATCACATCCTCCGTGAAGTTTGGCCAGCTTCCTGCTCAGAGCAATGCCCGTTTCACGTGCTCACCTCCCTCTGTGGACTGAAGGCAGAATGAGGTATCTGGTTGCGCCTTTTGCACAGGACTCCTTCCACACTTGTGCTTTCTACTCATTTACAAGGGTAGGATCAAGTTCAAATGTACCCGATTTCCATGTTCAGACTGCTTTTGGAAACATACAAACATCATTTTCAATTCAAATGAATCTTAAAGCAGGTTTTGTCTTCTGCTCCCCTGGGACAGAGATAGCACAAGAGTCTTGTCTTGAGAGCTGCTTTATTATAGTTGGGTTTTCTGGAGATGAGAAAAAGGAAAAAAAAACCAAACCACAACCAACCAGAACCTGTCATCCTAAAAATCCCTGTACCATTACACAGGTTTGTGTGCAAGAATGCAGAAAAGAAAGGGGAATTTTCCAGTAAATTTTACTTGGGGCTTTTCTAGTACAAGAACAAGCAGCTTTATTTTCATTCTTTATTTTTATGATTACATTACATTCAGTTATCTTTTAAACCGGGCTGTATTAAGATCGATTTTTTTTTAAACCACTCCGCAATACACATAATATCATGCATGGATATTAGTCCCCCTTGACTCATCAGGATGGCAAGTTCCAGGTGTTTTGTTACGTGAAGTTAGAAGCAGTTTCACCAAAGCTGCATTTACACAACAGCAGAGTGTGAATAAAATTCCCTGGTAACAATTTCTGCCACCATAATTACGCTTGGTTTGCAAATCAGTACAAGAAAAGAAAGAAGCTTAATTTGGCCTAGACCATTTTCAGCACTAATCAACTTTGACGTAAACAGAGCACTAAGATGCCTGTCCTGCAGCTCGAATAGTCAGTGATGCCTGATTTAGGATTTTGCTTTTTGACGCTTTGGTTTTGCCCATCTCGCAACAAGCTTGAGGCTTTAGTTCCCTGGATTTAGCACCATTACGCTGGACAATAGACTTTTCTGGTTTAAAGTAAGCCTTTGCTTTCTGATGTCCCCAAGGGCTGTCCCTTGATGGGCTAAGCCACAAAGAGAATCCAAAGGACTCGTGGTTGGTTTTTTATCGGCCACACAGAACCCAACCTGTTTGGTCTTCTACGTCCATCAGCAATCTCCAGAAGGAAGCTATTCCCAGTTTCTGAAGAAGATTTTTCTTCTTCAAACAGCACGATCCACAACCCAACAGCTGCACTCAAGCTGACAACTTAAAACACAGAGGGACAGCCTCTTCACACTCCTTGAAGAGCAGGCCCACACCTGCAAGGTTTAGACAACTGGTTTTATCAGTGGGGCAAGAGGTGGATTTAGAGAGGGTGGACCCACAAGCAGCTCCTCGCTGTACTGAGTTACTTTTTTTGCATAGCCTTTACAAGCACAGGGTTACAGCAAGGCAATGCTCGCCTGTCAAAGCTGCATCTGCTAAGCTTTATGAAAATTAGTTATATGTGGTTTTGATGGGAAGGGCATCCGGCAAAAAAAGAACTTTGCTTCTTGTAGTCAGGAAAGCTCTTTCATCGGCATGAAGTAGAAACACTCCCTTGTGTTGCACAAACTGATTTTGTTTAGGGGTTTTTGAGAAACTGCTGTTTAAGCGGCTGCCAACAATTGATTGTCCTTATGACAGTCTCCAAGAGCTGGTCTTCTGCCAGCTTTCAACAACTGGATCTTTTCAGAAAAAGAAAAGACAAAAAGTTTCCACACGCTGAAAAGTCACAAGCACCCACGGGCAAGGTTTGATGTTACCAGAGCTCACGAGTGGAGAAGAGTGGTAAACAGGAATGAAGATGCGGGCAGACAAGGATCCACTGCCCACACAGCCATATTGGTGCTTAGAGCTGATACTTCCACCTAAGAGCTACCCCAGAAACCATTTCAATTTGGAGATTGCTCTCAGATGCTTCAACCTAGGTGTACTACACTAACTGGAAATCAGCGTGTTGCTGCAAATGCTTCTACTGTGGGCAAACCTGCCACTGAAGGAACAAGACGTTTATAGAACATGCTGGATGGTGCAGTTCTTATTAGCTCTTGAAAAAACAACACTGGAATTTTGTCAACTAAAAATGTTAGAACATTGTTAAGAGCCAAAAATAGGATCATATTGAAAGAAAGATCAATTCTTGTAATTATTCAGTTAAAATACGTCTTCTGCCACAAACATCTCTGCAAGAACCTACATGTCTTGGTCAACACCACCTGCATTTAGAAACTATTTGAAGATCAGGCTGCTGCCAGTGAGTTTACACAAGGGATTATTAAGAAGCTATCAGTGCCCAGTAATTGCACACCTAAGCCACATGAAGTATATTCTCTATGCTTAAGTGAACCTTAAGTAAACCATGACTAGATACAGCTTTAGGGTTTTTTTTCATTGCAGCAGCACTCTATATGTTTCAGACAAAGCATAAACAACCAGATTTATGCTTTACCACTGCTGACCATTTTGTGGCCAGTTTCCAAGTCTACTGAAAATACAGAAAGCTGAAACCAGGACTCAGTCACCACGCCACAGTAAAGTGTCAGGAT